TTCAAAGAGTCCATAATGTAAAATTTTTGAAAAAAATATTCTTATAATAATATTAAAATAAGATTTACATTTTTCACTTTCTCTCAGAAGTGAAAGAGTTTTCCAGAAGCTACATGGTATGTGACGATGTCATTCTGATGGCTAATAGACTTTCTGCTTGTGTATTTTGTATTTTCTAGAATTTTCTATGGTAGTAGGTTTGAACTATAAATGCATTTTCAGAAATTAATTTAGTTTGTTCTCAAAAACAATATTATGTCCCTGCTATTTTTGTTTATAGCTGTTATTACAATAAGCTGTAGCTTAGTTATTGTCCCATAAATCATTATTTTGTAACCCTCAAATTTCCCTTGTGTCTGTACAATCAAGAAAAAGAATTAATTATACTTTATGGTCTTGTTTTGCAAAAATATTTTGTGCACTTCTTTACTGGTGCACAAAATTTGCTAAATATGCCCTTATATGCCATAGCAATGGAGTAATCAAAACAACAAACAAAAGAATATTGAAAGCACTGAATCACTCACCATTGGGCAAAAACAAGTTTTGATGCACCCCCATGATGCCATGCTCTGTAACTACAAAAATAATTAATAAGACAAAACAAGTATTTTATTTTATTTTATTTTTCTTTAAAGATTTTATTTATTTATTTGACACACACACACACAGAGCATGAGCATAAGCAGGGAGAGTGGCAGGCAAAAGGAGATGGAGAGGGAGAAACAGACTCCCCACCACGCAGGAAGCCCCATGTGGCGGGGCTTGATCCTTGGGCCCTGGGATCATGACCTGAGCCAAAGGCAGATGCTCAACTGACTGAGCCAACCAGGTGCCCCAAAATAAGAATGTTAGGTGAAAAATGCTAGACATTCAGGGTAAGAGAGAGAGACAGAGAGAAAGAGAGGGAGGGAAATGAAATTCTGTTATGTATATAGAGCATGTCTGAAATATATGAAGTAATAAACAAAGCCCAAATAACAACCACTTCTAGGGAGTGAGATTGGAGAGTAAGTTGGGCTAAGGATTATCTGCATTTAATCTCGTGTCCTGGTATGCTGTGAAATGTTTCTGGCTGTTATACCACCCATGTATATCAATCTTATTATGCAAGTCAATTAATGATAAAGAAAACCTTATTATTGATAATTGATAATAAGATGCCAAGATAAGTGGAAGCAATTGTAGAATGAAGTTAAAAATATACATCTATATGAGTATAAAGATGATGAAGATTAAGGATAGTTCCATGGCTTATAAGAAGTGCTAAAATTGGCAATGGTGGTTAAGATTGATATGAAAGAAGGAAAAAAATGCAAATCCATTCATTTATTGTTCTGATTTAAAAACATAAACCACGTACCAAAAAAAGAAATTTTCATTTAAAATGTACCTATTGAGATAAGCAAAGTAGACAGATTAGGGATGACCAATGTGAAGGATAAAATTCCATTGTATGTGGTAGTATGCAAATTATAAGAGAAAACAAGTGGTCACTGTAATATTAAAAAGTAATTACATTACAGTACATCTGTATGATGGAATTTCATGTAGTAAATCACATTAGAGAATAATATTTAATGATATAGAAAGGTATCTATAACTTACTATTTTGTGGAAAGGGATGTAATAAGGATAATAGTGTAACACTTTGGTGAAAACCAAAGTGTCTATGAGTTTGTGTGTGTAAATATTCACATCCTAAGAAAAAAACATTAAAAGATGATAATTTCTGGGCTAAGATCTTTATTTTCATCCTTTTCCACATAAGTATTCTCCAAATTTGCTAAAACAAACTACTTTTATGAGTAAAATTTCATAAACAAAGTTTATGAAATTTGCAATACATAAAGTGATAAAAATAGAACCTCCTCTTCTACCAACAGGGAATTGTCATTATACTTCATCACATTCTATGCTTTTGGAGGAATTCACTTATTGTAGATGCCCAGTCATATATCACTATATAGAGAGTGCTGGGAAACCAGGAACACATTCATTTAACCCAAAGGGAAAGCAACATTACAGTTTGTTTGGGTGGGGTGGTGGTAACACATTAGTCTTAGCAATTCCCATGGTGGGGTGGGGGACGACCTGCTTAGAACTTGGGAAATTTGTTTTGTGTTACTCATCAATTTAATGATCTCTAAGATTCGTTCTAAATCTGTGGTTCTATGACTCTATGAAGAACAACTAGTAACAGGTATTTCAAACAGTTCATTGTTTACATATTAAGCATTTCACGCATCAATCACTTACACAGTAGCCATCCCCATGTCTGTGGTTTTGCTTTCCACAGTTTCAGTTACTCATAGTCATAGTCACCTGGGATCTGGAAGCAGAGGACAATATATCAAGAAAGTCAGTAAGATCCTGACACTACATTACATTGCCCACATGATTCTCTTGACTTGATTTCATCAGGTAGGTGTTTTGTCATCTCATATCATCCCAAGAAGGAAGCACGTGAGTATATTACAAGAAGAGATTTTGAGAAAGAGACCACATTCACATAACTTGCATCACAGTATAGCATTTTAGTTATTCTATTTTATTATTAGTTGTTGTTGTCACTCTCTTACTGTGCCTAATTTATAAATAAAACTTTACCATAAGGGCGTATGTATAAGAAAACATAGTAGATAGAGGGTTTGGTACTATTGAAGTTCCAGGCATCCAGTGGGGGGGGGTTGGGCATTTCTTCTCATACTGTGCTATGCTATGCTCTATACCAATGGCATTAGAAAAATGGTGTCTGATGCTCATAACTTTTCCTACAGACTTCAACAGACCCGTTTTAAAGATGAAGACACTGAAACTACCAAGATCACTTTTTTGTTTAAATAAATTTTCACTCCTGATAGCTTACTTAAGTTTCTAAATCTGTATCTATCTTTCCACAAAGTCTGAACTCTTCACTACTATCTTACTCCAGGACCGACTTTTCAGAGATTGCCGGCTAGCATGGGACAAACAGAATCCTGCATCGGAATGGCTTTGACAGAGGAAACAGGCAAGTTGCAGTGAGCCTGGGAGCTGGGACAAATGCAGGGCAGGATTCAGAAGGAGGTAAATGAAAGGGTCATAATGTTCCCCACCATCCTTGCTGGTCTCAGGTCCCGGAAGGAATGCAGTGGGCAGGCTGAGGAGGCAACTCAACCATTTGAACGTTGATATTGATGAAACCTCAAAAATCTATTACCGCAAACAACCTGACTCATTTGCTGGGGTAGAGAGCTTGTACCTCAGCCAGAGGTCTGACGTGTGGATGTGGGTGTGTGTGCATGTAAGTGTGTGATGTACAAGGAAAGAAACTATGGCGTAGTTGGTTTTTTGGTTTTTGTTTGTTTGCTTGCTTGTTTGTTTTGGCGTTTTAGAAATCACCCCCTAGTTAATATCTCAGCTCTCAACTGATAATAGTATTGCCTATAAAATATTTTAAACTGATTCAATTAACTACCTTGTTTTAGCTCGATCTTGCCCACCCTCTTCTCAATGGGTAAATATTTCAGGATTTTGCTCTTCTGTTTACTCTTTAGGTGACTTAGTAAATTATTTAAGCTTTCTGAGTCTCCATTTCTACCTCTGAAAATGTGGTAATAACACTTACATGGATTTTAAAGCTCAAAACTTAAGGTAAAAAAAATGTGAAAATTCAGAGAATAAAGCATGGAATAAAATACACTTAAACAGTAATTTTATTTCTTTCTAATAGACTCAAGAAGTATGGTTTAAAATTCACAACATCCAATTATTGGTCCCACAGAACTGGTTTTATAAAAAAGAAAGTATATTTTGATAGTATCAACTTCACAATGAGGTAAATATAACTGAATGTACTTAAACTCTATTACAGATGCCTCAACACATTTATTACTTCATAAAGAGAAATCCTAGGAATAGATACTTGGAACTTTTCAAACAAAATTTCAGATGTAATCTATAAGAATTTGACACATTCTAAGTTAATGCTCAGAACTGTTTAAATATCTCCTTACAATGAAACACTTAATTACATGTCTTTTTTTTAATTTCTTTTACATTTATTCATTTTCTCTGTTATAAAACTGAATCCTTTCTATAATTTTCTTAAAATAATAGTAATGAAATGTGAAGCTATGAATCACTTTATAATTCTATGAGTTACTTTCAAAAAGATTATTATTTTTTTTTTTTTAACAGTTCCATGACCAAAAGAAAAGGTATCTATTGTGCTGTTAATTTTTCAGGCAAATGCATTAGTGGCCAGGGAGGTTAACTTTCCACAGGTCTCATAGCTAAAAGTGACATATTTAAGTTATTTTAGGAGGGAAAAATCTTACAATGTGGCAATTTAGGTTAAAATATTGGACTCTAAAGAGTTCCTGTAAGCATAAGGAGAATCTTGGAAGAAAAATAAAACTTATAAACACAGCTGATATTATCACAAAATGAAATAGACAAGAACTGAGTATATGGCTCATTTGTAAAAAGCATGCATCAGGAACTGACAATGAAAGACATATCCAACCAGGCCCTTGGGAGATTACAACTTTGCATGACTTCTAGTTTCGAGGGAAAAAAAAAAATATTGCTAGCATGCAATGAGAGAGTGAAAGATTACTGCCTTGTGATATTTTTAGTGTGCAATTTTTTCATGTTCTTTTATGTTTTTTGGCATTAAGCTATAGAATACCATCCCCAAGTAAGGTCTTGGATGAATTCCTAAATTAAATCCACAAAATAAGAAACAGGCAGGACATTGTTGATTGATTCCAGATCGGAATAGCATAAAATGAATCCCCTTAACATAAGAAATAAACTGGAAATGTTGATATTTACCTTCTCTGTCAGAGTGTCAATGAAGCATATTTTCACATTTTGGGAACTAATGTAAGTTACCTCCCCGGCCCCAAATTAAGGTAGTCCAAGTAAATCAATATAAACCTCAAGAGCAATGGGCAAGAAAAGATTCAATTCCTCTGAAGTCTCATTTGCACTTTTCTGAAATTATTTGTTCTGTTTATGATTTAGGAGACCTTTAGGTGAACCTGAGAGCTGATTGAGAGAATAGCATCTAATCGTTGCAACAGCTACAGAAGGAGAGAGCTTTGCAAGAGAAATGCTCCCACAGTAGATGTCTTCATTTGCAGCAGGACTCAATTCTTGGTTAAAAGCTAGGTATTTGGGCTAGTTAAGCGTGACTCTCTCTCGCATTCCATAGGGAATGAGTGGGGCAGTCCTTGCTCCCCACGTCCACCTGCACTTGGTTAGAGAGCAAAATGCTCACATGCCACCCCACAAGATCCCCACAATGACATAACTCCATGCAGAGACTGGCGTGACTGGGCTGGGTTTTCCCCTTTCAGCTCTTGTATCACTAAGAATCTGGCAGCCAGTTCCGTCCTGACAGAGTTCACAGCATATATTGGTGGATTCTTGTCCATGGTGCATCTGCTTTAAGAATTAAGGAAAGCAGTGTCAAGACAGTAAGGTAAGTGCTGTTTTAACTATAGCACTGGGGATGCTGACTGTTTGGGACAGTGTTTATTGTAACAGGAACAGAAAAAATTCCAGAGCAACTTTGCCAATTGCTATTCAACAGCAGATCCACAGTTTTGAGCATTTACTTTCACATTTTGCTGAATGTACTTTCCATGATTTATGGATTTGAAATCAATTTTATAAAGTATATGCTGCATTGCTTGGCAAAGGAAGCTGTGCAAAGTTTCAGAATCGGAATGAGAAAATATTTAAACTAGACATGGTAAAAAAAAAAGTGTGGCAAGTAAAATATTTGCTATTTTATGCTAATTAGTTATATATGTTAGTATTGTTAGAACCGAATTTTGGAGCAAAGAAAGACCATTTCCATTAATATTCAAACTGTTTCTCAATAAATACATTGTTATAATTTGTTACAATTTACAATAAGCGTGTTATAAAATGTGAGCTAAAGAACTTAGACACTCATGAATTGCTTACTTCTATCTTGTTAATTTTATCGATTTGTTTTTTGGATGTATGTCTTGAAAAAACATGTTTTAGAGAAATTGTGGGAAAGGTGATTTACTTTTTGAGAAAAGCATTTCCTTCATAGCCACAGGTATTTGGAAAAAACTGGGAAAAAGCAAAGTGCTCTTTTGCTTCATAGTGGTTTCATTATATGGTCACAAACTCTCTTTGAATTCAGAGCCCTTGTTTTTCCTCTGCCAAAAAGTATGGAAGCATTTTTTTCATTACTATTCAATATTCATATTATAGTGACCATGACTATTTTTAGTGTATACTCAATTTAAAATAAGGTGGAAGCCTTTTAATAAAGCCAGACAAATCTTTACAACATTAACATACTGTAACTTACAAAGAATCCTGTAATTACATTTACACTATGTAATTGTTCTCATGGCCAAGTCCTGTCAACTAAATTAAATGACGCCATCGTAATCTTAGGGAATAATTTGCCAAGGATCTGGCTACATGTTACATTATGTCAGCTATCAGAGTGATTCTAACAACTTTTTGGAGGGTTTCATCTGCTAAAATAAAGTGCCTTATAATTTCAAGTTGGAGCAAAGAAAAGATGTCTCAAGTTCTGATACTGAAAAATCCTGCTTATCCCAAACTACCTAGTTACAAAAGCTTATACCATACTTCTCACAGGAAGATATATTATTTTATGGTACCTAGTGGAATGTAGATCCCATTATGATTTCCCTTCTGGTGTTTCCCCCAGCCATAACTCTCCACTCTACAACAACCCACCTCTTTACCTAAATTGTTAACTCTGTACTTCCCCAAGCAAGTGAAATGTACTGTATTGAGCCTCACCTTAGAACCATGTTCATATGAGAAGATCACTGTTACAGCTCATTTTTAATTTGTCCTTTCCTACATGGCTCCTAATGCCACTGTTTAATACAGAATTTCCTCAATTCCCACTCTTTTCCATGCTGTGAGGGCACTAAGATCCAGATAAATGAGCCATGCCTTCTTAAATTTTGGCATGAAGAAAGTAGAGAACTTGTGAGTTATGGAGAAAGGAAAACTTCAATTCAAAACTTGAAAATAATATGTTTTCTCTACCAGCTGGATCTCTTTATAGGTTTAACATTTTTAAAGAATTTGTGACATTTCCCTGATTAATAAAAAGTAGTTTTGAAAACTAATGTACTAAATATTAGTTTTGGAACACAGTTGTGTAGTGTGCCTAAAAGTATGGAATGTTAAAAAAAAAAAAAAAAAAGCCAAAATAGTAGGCACACCGCCACCCTCCCCCAAGAATTCTGTTCCTCCACCTCAGAACCAACAAGACCCAGACACTTTTAAAGGAATGTATCCCCTCTCACACACACATATACATAAGAACAGCTTTCCTCCGGGCAAAACCATAGATTGCCCATGTTTCCAGTAAGGGTCTTCTTAATGAGACATTTTAATGATGGTGAATAGCAGGGTACAGGGTACAGTTTCAAATTGCCTTTTCATTTTCATTTTTATGGTTTTGAAGGATGTTCTGAGGCAGCGTACTAACATGGTGGCCAGTAGGCACCACCCAGAAATCTATTGCAGGAAGGCATTTAATTAAGGAATGATCTAGAGAGATTAAATGGACAATTGGTCCTGGCTTGCCCAGAAGGGGGCGCATGGGTATGCAGTCTACCCTGAACCGGTTCACCACACCAGAAGTACTCGGACATCCTTCTTGTGATCCTTAAATAAAAATTAAAATGACATCATTAGCTACTCTAAAAAAGCACTATAAAATAATAAAGGGCATATTTGCTAATGCATTTAACATTGCAAAGCCAATATCCTTTTCCTGAAAGTATACTTGTATAACAGTATGTTTCCACTTTATTTAGGATTCAAAGTATTTGCCAAAAATGCATCTAGGTGTGTTTACTCTCCTCTTGGCAATCATTGGTGCCAGGGGCCAGTACTATGATTACGATTTTGCTGTATCGATTTATGGGCTGTCCTCGCCAAACTGTGCCCCAGAATGTAACTGCCCCGAAAGCTACCCATCGGCCATGTACTGCGATGAGCTGAAATTGAAAAGTGTGCCGATGGTGCCTCCTGGAATCAAGTATCTTTACCTCAGGAATAACCAGATCGACCATATTGACGAAAAGGCCTTTGAAAACGTAACTGATCTGCAGTGGCTCATTCTGGATCATAACCTTCTAGAAAATTCCAAGATCAAAGGAAGAATTTTCTCTAAGCTGAAACAACTGAAGAAGCTGCATATCAATTACAACAACCTGACGGAGTCTGTGGGCCCACTTCCCAAATCTCTGGTGGACCTGCAGCTTACGCACAACAAGATCCAGAAGCTTGGTTCCTTCGATGGACTGGTAAACCTGACTTTTGTCCACCTTCAACACAATCAACTGAAAGAAGATGCTGTTTCGGCTGCTTTTAAAGGTCTTAAGTCCCTCGAGTACCTCGACTTGAGCTACAATCAGATGTCCAAACTGCCTTCGGGTCTCCCAGCATCTCTTCTGACTCTCTACTTGGACAACAATAAGATCAGCAACATCCCTGATGAGTATTTCAAGCGTTTTAATGGACTGCAGTATCTACGTCTATCTCATAATGAACTGGCTGATAGTGGAGTACCTGGAAATTCTTTTAACGTATCATCCCTGCTTGAGCTGGATCTCTCCTATAATAAGCTTAAAAATATACCAACCGTCAATGAGAACCTTGAAAACTATTACCTGGAGGTCAACGAACTTGAAAGTAAGTAGAAAGCTCTGCCTGTCCTTGACTGATGTTTCCTCAAGACTTTAAATGCCTAAGCTATGTGGTATAAATAGTGTCTCTGGTTCCATTAAAAAAAAAAAAAAATGAAGGAAAATTCCAGCAAGACATCCCTCTAGCTCAGTTATTTATCCAATGTCTGGCCTTTCTTTAGAGTGTCCAGATAAGAAACTATTGAGCTCACAGGACTTAAACATGAATTTCTTCAAATTTAATATTTTGAATTAGTTAATCCTACTGTGTTATCTCTGAATATTTATTTGTTATTATTTGCCTCTGTCATGATTTAGATTTGCGCCTTACATTTACTTCTTGGCAAGGTCTGGTTAAGGGAGGAATAAACAAGTCCAGAAGAGGGCTAGCTAGCAGGGGTTTTCAAATATCCCTCCTGCTTATCTCCAGAGCAGCTCACATATGCTCATGGTCTCCTCTGACATCATTACTTGGGACTCGATATATTACCCTGCTTCACTGACCATTATTATCTACCTCCATCATCTGTAATATAGTGAGTGTCCTTACAGTGTTCTTATGAAGATGGAGAGGAAGATTAAGGAGGGAAGAAGGAATATGATGAGGGTCTGGAATTTGTTTTAATGGTATTAAATTTCCCCCTTTTCTATACACAACACTTCACCTCATTTGATTTTTCCAGTTTCTCCTTCCTTTCTCCTGCTGCCATAGTTTATTTTTTATTTATCTTCTGGGTGGAACTTTGACCTGATCTACTCTGGGCTATTTATGTAGTCTTCTGGGAAATTTTTAAATTTAAGCCACACATTCAGGTGGGAAGCTGAAATTCACCATTCTCCACCTTATTCTTTAATGAAGGGTGACAGAAGAGAAAATCTCTGGTTCATGGACAACATTTTTTGAATAAGAAGTCAGGTGGGAAACATTGATTTACTCATAAAACAATTATATCTGCAAAGTAATCTATTGAACTGAATGATCTTTATACCATGAAATTTGGTTCTTTTGTCATATAGGATAAGGATATTGATATTTCTATCCAAAAGATTACAGTGTGACTTTTTAGTATGATACTTTGTAATTCTGCAACAATTTTGTGTCCTGGTAAGGTTGGGGTGTTCCCATGAAGGAGACCATGATTGCCTGCTTTGAAATGCCATATATCCTTTCTTGTGTCTGGAAAGCTTGCTTGTCATACAATACAGAGTAAAGTTATCATAGCTGAACCCTTACAGCCATTTCCAGTGGAAAATTCACTATGTGACAATATATGGCCCCACGTTATAAACATTAGTGGTGGTGGTTAGGAAGAAGGATAACTTAGACAACCAAAAATGCTAATGGGATTTAAGATGTTGAAGGGCTGAAGAAACCTGTTAGATTTGGTTGATGGAGGTTAACCACATGATTGGGACTGCCTCACACTCTGAGACAGGAAAAGGGAGAAAGACAGATACAGGAACATCTGAAGGTATAAAGACAAGATGGAAGAGGTAACATAGGAGATGGGAAAGGTGGTCTTGGAAGACATGGTCACTCATGCCAAACTGAGCTTGAAACCACACTCCCTGTCACATATGGTCATTTGAAAATGAGTGGTTAGTCACTTTAATTCCTTCCTTATTCTTGATATTTAGATACACACATTTCAGATATTCTTGTTGTTTTTGTATGTCTTCAATTCAGCTTATTTTGCTACATAAAATTATGTATACTCATCATCACATTCTCTTAAGATAAAAAGAGCCCCTTAATATTTCTGTAGTATTAGAAAATATATAACCAAAGACTGTTTAACATGTATTAAACTTTCAACCTTAAGCATGAGCCTAGTCATAGATTTTCCTCATGTAATTTGGAAAAGAGGGCAAAATTCAAAGGACATCAATAGCTATTCAACACGTATTAAGTGCTTGCTCTGTGTGCGAAGTGACTCACATAACTTAATTACTTCAATCTTCATGTAACTTAGTGTGATAGATATGTTATATCTAATAAGAAGATCAGATAAATGTTCCAAAGTCACCTCGATGATAAATGGCAGAGATAGAAGACTAATATAGGCCTAAAACCATGTTTTGTCCTATTACGCCATGCTTTTTCAGAGATAGGCACCACAAGATCCCTGAAATTTGACTGATCAGTTTTTAAAGACAACATCTTAGAGGAAAAGAGAACAGTGTGTTAGGCTCCACTGAAGTCATTGTTAACTAGAATTGGAGAATGAAAGAAAAATAACACTAGAGGTGACCAGATAAGATTAATTGGAACTTGACCTGAGTAGAAATAGACAGTTTCTACATACAGACATAGAGCATGCAATCTAAGAACAGCTTTTGTTTCTATTCAAACCTAAATTGGTTTTTCATTTGTGGCAGCTTTTTCTTTCCACAGAAGAAAAGGACATGAGCTCCAATCATGGACATTCTATGATTTGGTTTTTGCTTTGGAGGTTTGAATTATCATCAAAAAGTGTGTTCGTTGGAAAATTCTTCAGAGGTCATCTAGTTAACCCTTCTGATTTTAAGATGCCAAAAACCAAGATGTTTATATCAGTGAGGTTACTCATACAACAGCACCAGTCTTAGATTTCTTTGAGCTAGATGAAATACTTCAAAAGAGTGCTTAGATAATATGACACGTTAATTGAATGTCTTTCTAAAACCAAGTATTTCTAAATGCAGAACTTATAATTAATAAGTTCTATTCTTTAAAAAATTCCACTGAACGTCCTGATCTACCCATAAGCATTCTTTACTAAATATTGCTGTGCCATTTGGTAGCCTGAAATACTCCTTTAGCAATGCCAAATTCAGAGATATAGCCAATAAGTGGGAAGGAGTCCTAATAGATATTATTATGGATTTGAGCATTTTTAAAGTAACTGTTTCAAGTCCATGTACTAAATAATTAACATGTCTATTCTTTAATTTGCAGAGTTTGAAGTAAAGAGCTTCTGTAAGATCCTGGGACCATTATCTTACTCCAAGATCAAGCATTTACGTCTGGATGGCAACCGTCTTACCCACACCAGTCTGCCACCTGATATGTACGAATGTCTACGTGTAGCAAATGAAATCACCGTTAATTAATATCTACTAATTCTGATTCTATTGAGGTGTACCCTGGAGTAACATTTTATGGTTATGTTTTGTGTGTGTGTCAATTTTCACAGTACTCATTTTTTTGTCACTGTTTATTACTTCCATGAATTCCAAATTCTGAGGGAAATGTTTTGTAAACATTTTACTACTTTTTTTTTTTTAAACAAAAGATGAAAGGCAGGCCTATTTCATCACAAGCACAGACATAGACACACACAGAGACAACAAACTTAGTGCTTTATTTGTAAATTTAGTGTTTTCTACATCTCTACTGTCAAATGATGTGCAAAGTCTTCTACTCATTGAATGGAAGTCAGCCGAGTATTATAATTCCTAAATCTTAACTTAATGTGCCAAAAAGCATGGGCTACACACGTAAGGATGTTCACTGTCTTGAATCAAATGATCTCAAATTTATGTTCAGATTTGTTTAGCCGAAAAATGGGTGGCAAATTTTGAGACCAATGATTTTGCAAAATACTAGACCAAATTCACGAAGCCACATACACTTAGAGCAATATTTTTAGCATTAAGAATTTATATACTTACCTAGCAAAACTTTTCTTTTCTAGAATTATTTTTCACTCTAAATCACGTGTATGTTCCTTTTTAATCATTTGCATGTTATGTTTAACAAGCTCATAGCAAAATAAAACATAGCAAATGCATCACTGTGTTTTTTATGAAGTTCATATCTCTCATATAGAAAATAATAGATTAGAATTTTATTTTTTTATTTTTTATCTTTTTAAGATTTTATTTATCTATTTGACAGAGACACAGCAAGAGAGGGAACACAAGCAGGGGCAGTGGAAGAGGGAGAAGCAGGCTTCCTGACGAGCAGGGAGCCCAATGTGGGGCTCAATCCGGGACCCTGGGATCATGACCTGAGCTGAAGGCAGACACTTAATGACTGAGCCACCCAGGCACCCTAGTAAATTAGAATTTTTAAAATATCTTTAGCCTGCAATATTTTACTTACATAAAATAGAATTTCCCACTAAATAAGTTGTCTGCCTATAGCATCCATTTGCAAACAGCTTTAAAACACCTCTTAAAGTGTGTACTTAAAAGCATGCAGATCCCAATTTTGGTTCATGTTGGGGGAAGGGATTCTACCCCCCACCCCTCGCTGCCCACTAAGCAATCCTCTAGACACCAACTGGGTGGCCTTCAATTCAACTCAATTCTGACACTATCTCTAGATGGATAGTGTCAGATTTCACAGGTCAAGTGTTCAGTCTTTAAGACACCCCGCACCCTTGTGTTTCAGAGGTCAATGAAAAGTCCAGGCTGTTGCCCGGCTATAAACCATAGGTTCCCGTGGCCCCCTCCTTGGACACAATTAATTTGCTAGAGAGACTCACAGAATTCAGGAATGCTGTTTACTCACTAGATCACCAGTTTATTATACAAGGATATGATTCAGGAACAGCCAGATGGAAGAGGTGCGCTGGGCAGCATAGGTGGGAAGGGCATAGAACTTCCATGCCCTCTCCAGGTGCACCACTCTCCCCCAATTCACCAACCCAGAAGTTCTCTGAACTCCATCATTTTGTGGTTTTGTGGAAGCTTTGTTACACAGACAGGATTGATTAAATCATTAGCCACTGGCAATTTAAGTCAATGTCCAGCCCCTCCCCCCTCCCTGGAGGTGGGAAGGGGCACTGAAAATTCCAGCCCTCTAATTGCATAGTTGGTTCTCCTCCCAAACAGTCCCCATCCTCAGGTTACCAAAGTGCTTTCCAAAAGTCATCTTATTATCATACAAAAGACAACTTTATTGTTCTTATCAAAGGACATACCAAATATTTTAGGAGTTGTAAGCCAAGAACAAAGGACAAAGAGAAAATATATATGAGGAATATATTTTGGTTATCTGAATGACCAAATATACATTTTGTGTAAATCACAGTATCAGAATTCTTAAATCTCACTTCTTTGGATATTTAACATTATTTCCATTCATGTTGGTTCTGCTGATTTATATACAATGAGAAATAGTAGGGCAAACAATTTATAAAAAGTAACTTCTCTTTTATCTACTTAACAATAAAGCATATGTCTGGAGCCAAATATTATGCTATCAAAAGCATACTTATCCCATAGGAGTGCATATAAAGCCTCAGTTGTGTCTAAAACAAAGGTCACATCTCTCTAAAGTGTCCTATGTTTTAACAGTACATTTTTAGTGAGCTCTACCTTTTGGTAAAATAGTCCCTATTATCAAAGGACCATCATCAACTGAGTTGACTGGTAGATGTGTGAGATATATAGTACATTAGGTACACTGTATACTTTTTGATTGTTATGTATTTTCTACATAAAGATAAGTTCCTTAAGCTGCGACTGTACTCTCAGGCCATTTAAAATGGTCATTTAAAAAAATAGATTTTAAGTTAAATCAATTTTTTCCTCAATAGATCTATTTTTCTCAATGAACTATAATACAAAAGAAATAAAAATAAATTTTCCCGGCCCTATCTATAAAAAGTCACCATTGATCTTTTGAAACCTACTCTCAAGTAATAGAGAATGTGCCATAAATTCTCTTTTAGAAATAATGTTATAGACCTACACAAATTCTGTCTTTATATCACTTAGGGAAAACATCTTGTCAGCTGTCTACCTTTAAAGTTTTTTTTTGTTTTGTTTTTTTTTTGACATAGAGAGAGCTCACAAGTAAGCAGAGAGGCAAGTAGAGAGGAGGAAGCAGGCTCCCTGCTGAGCAGAAAGCCAATGCGGGGCTCAATCCCAGTACCCTGAGATCATGACCTTAGCTGAAGGCAGAGGCATAACCCACTGAGCCACCCAGGCGCCCCATCAGCTGTCTATCTTTAAAAGCCTTTGATTTATCTCTATCCAAAGTCATATATTATTCTAAAGCAAAACTATAACTTTTAAACAATAATTTCCTTTGTAGTTGTGGTTGGTTGACAAGGACCAAATTAAGCACAGTGACACTTTGATTAAAAGCATTTGGGGAAAGCACTAGTTAGGTATTGTCTTGGGACAGCTCCCCTTTCTACAGACCATATCCCAGCAATTCAGGATAGATCAAGAGAAAAGAAACATCTGTCCTGCTTGCTTCTTCACTCATTGTGACAGTCCTCCAGAGGAAAGGAGATTGGAGACTCTCTTTTATCTGCTCTTCCCTCATCCCCGTACTGCTACCCCAGCTGGGGTAGTGTTTTTCAACATTTCAAGCGTATGATTAGCATGATGAAATGCTTTTCTAAATACAGACTACCAAACACAATGTCTTAGATATACAGACCCAATAAATTAAGCAATGTAGGATTCCATATTTTAAAATATATATACATATATATTTAATTGATTTATTTATTTGAGAGAGAGAGAGAGAGAAATCAAGGGGAGGAGCAGAAGGAGAGGGACAAGTAGACTCTGCATTGAGCAGAGAAACTTGATGCAGGGCTCGACCTCACAACCTTGAGATCATGACCAGAGCCAAAACCGAGACTTGGATGCTTTACAGATTAAGCCACTCAGGGACCCTCCACATTTTTGAAGAATGTACATGACTCTCATACTGGTGGTCAGTTATACACATTTTTTTTTTTTATAGAAAGAGAGAGTGAGAGAGAGAATGTCAGAGGGAGAAGCAGACTCCCCATAGAGCTGGGAGCCTGATATGGGACTCGACCCTGGGACTCTGGGATCATGACCTGAGCCAAAGGCAGTTGCTTAACCAACTGAGCCACCCAGGCAGCCCAGTTATATACATCTTTAAAAGCAATGGTTAAGTGGGATCAAGCCATTGAAATCTCAAACAGTTAAAGAGCCGAAGAATCCTTTTCTCTAAGGAAGCTGAATAAAAAGAAGTCTGTTGTTAGCAATATACATACATGAGAATAAATATTATCTTTCCTGTATTCTAATTTATTTAAGCATGTGTAAGCAAGGAATCACTTCAAGTGTAAGCAAGGAATAAAAACACAAACTTCATAAGGGTATCATGAGACAATTCTACCACCCAACTAACTTGAGAGTTGTTGTGTAGATTGTTTCTTTTCTTTTTTCTTTTTTTTTTCTTGCTTTGTAGATACTTTGTTTGGCTATGGTCCTTTCCTTCCAGATGGTACTCTGTTAAAGAGATATGGCTCAGAATTTACTTTGATTAAATTTTCAAAATGGATACTGGGGAAAATGGTCAACAACAGGGCAAATTTCAATTAAGAAGTTCTCTCAACTGTCTTGTTAAAAACAATGATTCTGATTTTGTCTCTTCCTTGATAACCCCACGAATGGATTAAAGCAATGATTGATATGGATTCTTTCTTTCCAAAGATTTTTTTCCCCAAGATTGTGTCACGGGAAAGTTAACTGTAGATCCTAATTTTGGAGGAAAATAGAAAAATGAGAAATGTTCCTCTTTATTCTCAACATCTCCATGTGAAGATCAGGGTTAGGTCACGCCTTTATGGTAAAGGAAAATGATGATATTCAGGCTTTGAGGTTTGTAAGGAATTATCATGCCCTAATAAGTAAAAAAAAAAACAGATGGATGATAGACCATTAAATGAGCCAGAGGAATGTTGATTTCCTAGTTAAAAGTTCTCCAACTGGTAATAACTGTTTTCAGAAATAGCGGAGAGTTTAAAAGGTTGGTTTTACAGAGGACTATGGATTTATTTCCTTGTGATCTTTTATGTTTTGGGTTCCGGTTTTTTCTATAGTTGCAATTTTATCATAATGATGGCCTTAGATTTTTCTTTGGTTGGATTTTGCAACCATCATAAATACTTGCTTAAAATTTTACTCACAAGCAAAAGAAGACTCTCATTTGATTTAAAGTGAACTCTAAAACAATTTTATAAACAGAGCTAAAATAACAATGTTATAAAAGTTAAAGAAGACATGCCATAAATACATGAAACAAGCGGAATTACATTTTAAAAATATGTAGCTAGTTATGTTTGCTTATATACTCATGCCTTCAGTAGATTTTGTTTCCTAATAAAGCATGAGAAATCAAACTACAACTACATGCAGGGAAAAGTAGCTATTTAGGCAACCTAAAATGAGTGAGGCCCCATGCATCTTCGACTCACTCCAATGGCCCCAAGATTCCACTTCTATTGTGTAGTTCTTATTGCTTCACATTTTCGTTAGCCCAAAGAATATTACCAACATGAGTGTCTTGTCCCCTTAAAATCTAACTGCTGTTCTATAAAAGAGAATACATTTCATGTTCCAAAAATATTCAAGAGCCTTAGCTGCTTTACCTATGGATTGTGTCTCAAATACACCCCCTTTCTATTGCTACTGCCATGACTTTAAGATTTGATCAAATTGCTTAAAACTATTCAATGATGCACCATCATTTTCAAGATGTGATTCAGGCTCCTCAGGGCAGTATACAAGGCAGCCAGGATATCAAGGGTTCTTGGATTATCTGATCTTTGATTATCTCTAGCGCCTTATCTCTACCAGGCTTTCCAGACTTCACCATGCACCATATGAAATCACTTGCTACTACCCCCTTACTTACCAGTTTACAGTTGGTTTGCTCTGTTGTTTATGAAAACTCTGTCCTTTCTTCCAAGAATCTCTATATGTCCCTTCCACTTGAAAACACCCACACATCTTTCAAGACTCACCTTAAGCTACTCTGTTCCTTTCCCATAAATCCCTCAGAAACT